CCAGCTCAAAGGGAGTCTCACCTGGTTTAACCACGTAAATGAGACTGTCAATATCTATGTACAAAACCCAATNTAGGAGTATGCGATGCACGTATATAACCATACCACATCGTTTCATTTTGTGTTTTTATTTTGAATCAAGTCATCCACAACCTTTTATAATAATTAACTGGAATTTTAAAATGTAGATGATATGACGTGATGGCATAAGGATATGATTTTTTTTTTTAATAAAACAAAGATTAGATCTATTTCTCATATTTCTGAGTTATAAAATACCTTATAACAGTTGGGTACTGCGTAAATTATTAAATCTAACCCTAATGCACAGCATCTTTTTTAAATTCAGTTTGTAAAAAGAGAGAGAATTGACATTTCTGCCTCATTCTCTTTTCACTTCACAATTGTTGAGGCATTTGTGTTGCTACATCACATCATAATCCTGGTTAGATGTTTTAACATTTGTGGCTAAAATGTAAAAAAATAAAATGCTTAAGTTCCTGTCGTATGCACACTTTTTTAACATGACCTGAAACCATTCAGAGCACCAGGAAAACTGTTCATATAGTAAAGTAGTTTTCACAGGCAACACCTCAAATAAAATTCCCTTTTTAAAAACTCTCTTGGCTGTGTAATAAAAAATAAACATCTTCCTTCAACAAAATCTAAGGTAGAGTAGATTCCCTATATTATTATCAATATATTTTATTTGTTTCGTCATTGTGCATTATTTTACAAGCCCCAATGTTATCAGCTGTATTTAGATTATGTTTTTAGCACATCAAAGCACATAAAAACTTTAAAAACCTAGATCAACTAGTAATTAAGGATGAAATCTAGCTAATTAAAAGTTTAGTCTTAAGTGCCTCTGCAGATTGTCCTACATCCTTATTGGTGAACAATATTCCGTTGGTAATGAGCCACACCTGTCTTTAGTTAATCATACCTGCTGTGTCCATTTGACAGCACCTTAGGAATCAGGGGCAGGGTGCTCTTAAAAACAACTGGTAACACATATTTTTTTAAAACAACTAGTTTGACTGCTTGGTGTGGCTCAAGTCATGGGGATTTTCTTTCGGTAAGTTTCTCTTTTATCTTCTTTAAAGTAGAACTTTTTGTGTTTTGAGTAAAAGTTTTATTTTTATTATTGGAGTTTACATAAACTTTTCTTTTTTTTCCTCTAGGCTCTTTCTGTCCCTCATACTTGCTGTTGGACAATGTCAAGTAAAAGGTGAACTTGAGTATTGTAGTACCATCAGTAAAATGAACACAAAAAATGCTCGGCCAAACTTACAATTCTTATGTGGCAACTAATCTGTTCTGAACAGGTGGATCCAGCTTTGCCAAACATGGACATGGGGAAGGCTTCCCTGCCTATCAGCCGGTATTTGAGGAAAAGAGGTTTCCTGTTGAGCCGTTCTTCCCAATTGGGGG